CGGCGTCTGCCATGCCCATTAACACTACACACAGTCCTGACACACCAACGAACACTAACACCACCACAATCAAAACGAGTGACGAGAGCCGGGTCTATACCTTTCCACATTGCAATCGCACCTTCACTTCATAAATCGGCCTGGTCGGTAACGCCCACGCACCTTCGTGCGTCGCATGGACCTATTCGGTCACATGCGTGTCTATGAGAACGGAATTGATCGCAGCCCCGACACACCTAGCACCTCCTGCACATCCACCATGCCTAGCCTCACCCACACTCCGCCGCCTAGCGCGTTCACCGCCAACAGCTCCATCACACCCAGTGCATCCTCCACACCCACCATGCCCAGCCCACCAAATGCTTGCCTACCACAACCACCACCACCGAGACCAGCCAAGCATTCGATTGCCTGCAGAACACCGTCTGGAATCGTCACGGTCCTCACCTCGGCAAAAAATCCAAGATGTACAAAGCAGGCATCTTGCCTAAGCTGCTATACGGAGCAAAGCCCTGGACGGTGTGCAAAAAGGCGCGAAGACTCAACCACCTCCGCCTCAGCTGTCTTCGGCGGATACTAAGGCTGAGGTGGCAGGACCGGATCCCAGACATGGCCACAGCCAAACGCGAAGCTCGCAAATCGCAAATGCGCCCACCTCGCAACGCCGACGCTCAACAGGCCCCGACTAACCAAGGACGTCAACGGACGTCCCGGGGACCAATCGGTCTCATTGAACATTTTTGTACTAACTGCAGCACATGGACGACACCACCCGATGTCCCTCCCTCCAACTCGGCCTCGCCCCCCACTTCGACAATCAACACCGACCGCACTTCTGAACCCCGACTACTATTCTCCTCTATCGCCTCAACATCCGCTGCGACGGCTTCTATATCCACCATCACTGCACACAATCCTGACACACCAACAAACATCAACCACACCACTGCCAACACCAGCGATGTGGACTCGGTCCATACAGGTCCTCATTGCGATTGCACCTTCACCTCAAACATCGGCCCGGTCGGTCGTTTGCGAATCCGTCGCACAGAGATTGAAAAACCAGTGACTGGAGCGCCAACATACACTAGACGAATCCGCTTCGACTAACCTCACTGCACCCGCACATTAAATCACCGTATGGGCCTACTAGGTCACACGCGCACTCACGAAAACCTGCGGTAGACAACCGCCGGCTGCACCACACCATCACATGTTCCCCTACCAGCACCTGCATCACACAACATCATCTGCCACAAGCGTCCAAACGCCACCTCTCACGCAAGTGGGAAGTGTGCATATCGGCTCCGTCTCCATGCGGCTCCTCTGCTGCACGTGTGATTCGAGTGCGAAACTATAACGATGCGTCAGCGCCGTGGTCTGGAAGGCCGTTGACTGACGCTCCAACACAGTCCACGCAATCTGCCCAGTTGTGTGCGCGTCTGTGTGGAGTGGCGGACTGGTGGGCTGAGAGCCGGGCTGTCACAGCTCCCTCTTACAAGGCCACAAGGCACTCTCACGCACATGAGATGTATGCCGCCCAACGCCCGTTGTGTGAAGTCCTGGTGTTTGTGTTTGGGGGCCGGGTCGTAAATGTGGCGCGCGCGCAGACAAGGTCACAAGATATATCAGTGACCGCGCCCATTCCCCGCACCTGTCAAATGATCGACTCGGACAGTGGCTGGGGCATAGGAAGGAGGGATGAGGTCGACACCTCGGTGCATGTTCCCCACTACAAACAATCTGACGCCCTTAAAGCTAGCACGCTGTGCTAAAAGCCGTGGCTTGGAAGGTTGCCAACTGACGGGATAACCTGGACCTTGGAGTCGGTCTAGTGTTGTGCGTTCGTATAGAGCGGCCGATTGGTGGTCTAAGAGCCAGGCTACAATGGCTCCTCCTTGATGTGGCCCTTATGGCACTCCTACTGCATGGAATCCGAGCCGAGTATGGCGGCACGCCTATGCGCGGCTTCGGCCGCGCCAGCCCCTTTCTTGTTGTTAGTCAAAATCCTGGTCATTTGCTGTGGACAAGAGTGTGAAAGGTGCGGGCTCGACCGTGCCATCCACCTGCGCCCTCGCCCGCTTTCGGTCTTCTTGACTGTCTTGACACCGGCTCCAGGTGTGGGAGGAGAGAGTGCGGTAGATGCCGCGCAAGTCTACATTCACTATAAACTAAAGCACGCGCAAGTTACCGTGCCTGCTTAACCTTACTGTGGAACACACGGTGGACATCATCGGCAACGACGGTCGAACTGTCGTGTACAATAATTCCTCAATTTCGTTTACGCGAAGCCAGGACTGTGCCTGAATCTCAGTAGTCGTATTGGATTGAGACAGCACAGGTATCCGAGTGCTTTCTGGAGTGGCGTGCACCGTCCTGCCTTTGGGCCTTGGCTCTACAGCCATGCAACCGCTTCCGTGGGCTGTGGACCCTCAGCCCAAATGCAAGGCGGAAACGTTCATTCCCGTCCAGCAATCCGGATAACTCGTGTACCTAAATACTCCCGATCTCAATCAGCATAACCCGAGTCCCTCGTACAATGATGGGAGCATTGCTGCACAATAAAACGACTCAGATTCAAACCTCGGGCTGGTAGACCACTGACTGATGATGACAGATAACCCAGAAAAGGCCATTTCCGTGGCCGTCTTTTCAGCAAGAAACCTCTCGGTCCGAGTTCCTCGAGAGATCCAAATGGGTGCGCGCTTTTTTCTTATTGAGCGTAAATGTTTTCATTTTATAAGAAAATATCACTTGTGAGAGCAGCAAAACATGCCGGACGTCACCATGTAGTAATTCACGTAAAGCCGCCCATTAGTCTCCGTGTAACCACGACTACGTCCACAGGAACCTCCCACGTTATTTGGAGCAGTTATCGTGACATAAGCGTGAGCCCAGCTTATACGCTTTTCGAGGACTATGATGACTACAAGTGTCCAGAATGGTCATAAAATGTTGCACCGGATTGTAAGCATTTAAGTAAGAAGGCGCGCACAAAGGTCAGAAAAAAACAAAGTGTTCTCACTCTGTTTTTGTTCATTTTGGAAATCGGATACAATTGTACACAGAGGGATAGTCGGAGAGGGTCCCCTCAAAAGTGAAGAATATTCGCGACAGAAATTCTCAACAGCTCCCGTTTTTCTTCCTCCAGTTCGGCGCACTTCGCCTTCAGCGAGTCCAGCTCCTTGGAGTCGATGTCCTTTACAGTCTCCAAAACGTGGATCGATTTGGCAAAGGGAGCATTCACAGTTCTGTCAGTGATCATTCTTATGAAATCGTCTTTGTAAATACTTTCTGCAAGTGAGTCAGGTAGACGGTCCTTCAAGTAAAAAAACACGTAAAAAGCCACTTCTAGGAAATCGATCATACTTATTACAAGCATGCATAAGCAGACACGTTTTACAGGTTTTAAAAAAGTACTACTTAGTACAAGGGCCGGAATGAGCGGCGGGCACCAGAAGAGGTCAGTACGGAGTGGCCAAAATCATTTCAACGGAGTGAACCGTGTACTCCTACTTGGATGCAAGAGATGGAAGTTCATCTGTCGCAAACAATGATGAGCACTGCCACCGAAAGGGAACAGTGAGAACTCGGGTGTGATGGAGACTTCTGCAGTGTCGGTTTCACCCTCTGGTCCCAATTCCATCCTTGTTCGGTGGCACAACCACGTCCAGACGACCGGCGATGAAACAGGACGCAGCGACCGATCTGGCACAGAGTTCCGGTTTGCGAGTGCACAAAGCAACCGGCTCCTTCTTACTTACGGAACCCGGTTAAACTTCATCTGGTTTCACTCGCCAGTAGAGACGGCCGCATCCAGATATAACCGCCTTACACTCAGCACAACTTCGTGAGCACTGGGTTCGGGGCGGGGGGAGGCACCCGCTCAGGCTGTAAATCCATCAAAGTGACTAGCCCCATACCGAAAGTTTACCGACCGGGGAGGATTGTGGCGTAGGCGTTTGCGTATAGTTGAAGCGGCTGTGTGTGTTGTATATTGGGCATATACTGGAGGGTTTTTGTCGCTGTTGCTAGTGGACGGGAAACAGTGACAGCGAATGCGCAGTCTACCCGGGTGTCGAGCGTGTGCGACAGGTCCAGAAGTGGAGTCGAGGCAAATGGCGAACCAATCAAAGTCACGACTTGGCGAGTCGTCAGATGGAAAGGTAACTCAGTCCTTCTCCGGACTGACGATCAGGCTACAATGGGTCTTCCTTAACAAACCTATCTAATAACGGACATCATTCCTTTTTTCTCTGCAGTCTGGATCGTGTGAACCTAGGGACCACCACATGTGCAGCACCTGAAGATCGGTTGTTTTACTCTCTCAACAACTACACCTCCACCCATTCCCAACCGTCCTGGCGTTCTTTTGC